GCAGCTCTATTAGTTTTTTTTTAGTTCCATACTGATTTCCATAGTGGCTGCACTAATTCATATTTTCACCCCCAGGGTAGAATGGCTCTTTCCTCCTGCATCTTTGCTAGCCTTTACTCCTTTTGTATTCTTGATGACTGCCATGAGGTGGAGTCTCCTTCCTAGGAAACATCTCGATTCAGTCACGTGCCACATAACCACATTTTGGTCAGTGATAACCCACACGTCACAGTGGCCCCATGAGATTATGCTGCCCAGCGACATCGCAGCTGTCTTAGTTTGTCTTAGTTAGTACAAGTGTTCTCTGTGATGTTCACGCCACAGTAAGATTGCCTAAGGACTCACTTTTCAGAACACAGTTCCATGACAGAGTGATGCACAACATTTACATATGAGAACCACAGTGATCCTCCTGCCTCAGCCTCCCGAGGGCTGAGATTACAGGGATGCATCACCATGGCAGGCTGCTGTCTTCTTAATTCATTGATCATTATCTCCTCTCAGCAGGACCCACTTGTTCCCTTGACTTTGTTTTCTTTTTTTTTCTTTCTTTTTTTTTTTTGAGACAGGGTCTCATTATGTAGTTGAGACTGACCTGGAAGTCACTGTGTAGCCCAGGCTGGTCTCAAACTCCCAGCGATCCTCCTGCCTCAGCCTCCCGAGTGCTAGGATTACAGGTGTGCACCACCACGCCCAGCTTGACTTTGTTTTCAATGAATGTCTTCTGCACCACCCAACACAGGCTTTGTGAACACATCAGCTGCCCCCTCTGCACATTCACTTGCTCACAGAGCCTCACTCGAACCCAGGATCTAGTCTGCAAGTGTCTGAAGGTGAGATTGATGGGCTGCACTGTCACCTTCTGCCCTCTCTGGCCCTGGCCCCCGGTACTCAAAGTTGGCAGTGTTTTAAAGCCAGGATAATTTATCTAGAAAATAATAATCTAAACAGAACAGCTTTGGGCCAGGAATTTAGCTCAGTGATGCCGCAGCCTGCCTCACAAGTGCAAGGACCTGCATTCGATCCCCGGTACCAAAAAAAAAAAAAAAAAAGAACCTAAACAGAACAGCTTTCTCGTGTTCTGCTGATGAGTATTTGTAGTGAAGGAGGGGAAAAGTCCTCTTCACAATGTAGTAAATACCCTGAATGTCAAAGAATGATCCTAGCACGAATCTGGAGCTTGGGTAGGGCTCAGTGGTAGAAGGCTTTGCCTTGCATTTGTGAGCCCTGGGTTTCATCCCCAGCTCTGTGTACAAGACTAAAGACTATGGATAAAACTTAGATTGAACTCAGCTCGGAATAAGAAAAGACGCAAAATGAATTCACAAAGACAACACCCAGCATCTCAAAGAGAACATTAGCTTTTCGCAAATTTAATTTACGCATTCAAGGTCATCCCAATAAAACAAAATCCTAAACAGACTTTTTTTGGTTAGAGTTTTTTTCTTTTGGAGTACTGGGAAAATCAAAACCAAAGGCTTCTGTATGCTGGACAAAACTCTACCAGTGAGGTACATCCCTGGCTCAGATGGAGTGCTTTTTAGTGGTACAGTACAAAAAAATGAATGGTTTTTACTTTTACAGTTATAGGTTATGAACAAGAGACATCTACCATATTTTTTACCTTGGTCTAATATCTCAATTATTTTCACTTTGTTTTCAATAAGTTTATTGGTACATTTTGGGTAGACAGTACAGTTACATTCACCACTGGGATCTTGTACCTTTACGTGACAGGTCTTGGTTCTCATTTTTCCCCTTGTCCCTGCCCTCCCTTCACCCCCTCCACCCTTCCCTACTTACAAAGACTTTGTTTCCTTTTTTTCCTTTTCTCGTGTTTTCCTTTTCCTTTCTCTCCTTTTCCCCTACCCCTCCCACTTCCCCTGCTCCTTTAGCCCTTTTCTTCCTATGTCATAGTGTCGATTATACAATTCAAACCTCACTTACACTTTTAGCTTTTCACACCAGAGAAACGATTCAGTATTTACACATGTGTGTCCTGTTTACTTCACTTTTTTAAAATAAAGAAATGTGTATAACTGTCTCCAAAAGACCATAAAGAACTTATCACAAAACCATATGTGGAATAGCAATTAAATCACATTCCAAATACAAATGGTCCAACAACAGAGTGACATGTTTTCTTAAAAACATGCAATGTCAGTCACTTAGAATTATGGTCCAAGGTGCCTCTGCGACATGGATGCAGACCCATGCTCTGTCCGCAGCACCACTGTCCTGTGCATCCCCTCATGGGAGTCCCAAGGCAGGCAGCCTCTTTGCCAAGATTTGTATATGTTGATGTGCTTAACTCGCACGACTGAACTGTACAGCAAGCACAGGGCAGCACAACTGTGACGGGGTCTGGTGGACGCATGAGCTACTGCTGTGATTTGCTCACATCTAGGAATGTTCCTAAGGTGAGGTCCATTTGCACCTGTGAAAGTTCGCGACTCAGATGTCTGTATGTCAGGGACTTATTGTAGTTTGAACTCACAGATGAGCTGCAAAGAGAGTGGAGCCTGAGTTAATGTCACCCCTTGTCATCACACACATGTCAGAACAAAGAACTGAACATCGGTACAATACTATGGACTCAGCTATGGAGCTCACTCGGATTTCACTAAAGCTGCAGTCCCATGGGTGTCCTCTCTCTGTTACATTGCCTCAACCAGCATCACACGGTACATGCCGTCAGTATGAGTTTGCTAGGGATGCCTTGACAAAAGTGCCTCAGACCGCATAGCCTGAACAACAGAAGGTTTACTTTCTTATGGTTTTGGAGGCCAGAGTCCAAGGTCACTGTGTCAGCAGGCGCTGTAACTTGGATATGACGTGTCCCCCAAAGGCCCACGTGTCATAAGCTCGGTGTGCAGCGTGGAGGCATTGGGAGGTCACAGAGACTCTAAGAAGTACTAGGAGAGGTCTTCCGGTCATGGAGGGTGTGTCCTTGGAGGGACTAAGGTTCTCTGGCACCTTTCTCTTTGTCTTTTTCACATCCCTGTCAGGAAGTGAGTAGTTTTGCCCTACGCTGCTGCTGTGATACACTGTTTCGGCTAATCAGGCATGGATGGAAACTTCTAAGCCGTGAGCCAAAAGAATCCTTTTCTCGTTGTAAGTTGATTTATCCCAGATATTGTTACAGGGGTGGAAAGCTGCCTGATGACAGCAGGGCTTGTTCTGTTGTATGTCTCTCATTGGCTTGCAGATGGTCCTCTTCTCTCTGTGTCTTTACATAGTCATCCTTCTGTGTGTCTGGGTCGTGTCTCCTTTTTATGAGAACACCAGTCTTCTTGGATTAGGATGCGCTTTAATGCCTTCATTTAACTTCATCATCACTACAGAGAACCTATGGTCACGTTCGGAACTACTAAGGCTTAGAAGCTCGGTATATAAATCTGGAGGGCTGCATAATTCAGTGCCACAACAAGCATCACGACACTTGGTCTCCTCCAGACTCTGGCAGTCTCCTTGCTTCTGTAGTTTGAGTGTCTTTACGCGCCATAAGGTTGAGCCCCAATTTGGTAATGTTGAGAGCCACTGGGACCTTTAAGTTCCCGGGTCCTTGCAGAGAGTAATTAGGCCATGGTGGGCATCACCTTTGGAGAGGGATTAATGCTCATCTCTTGAAATGAGATCCCTCAGAAACCACCATCACCATCAATAAACTTTTAGGGGATAGAGAGACATTGAGGTTATACAAATACCCTGTTTCTTCTAACGGTCCCACCCATTCATTAGACCTTGCCCGTGACAGTCATTGGTGGGGTATTCTCATTGTGATTTCCCATTCTTTGTACTTTTTACATTTATTTATTTATATGTACTGGGAATTGAGCTCAGGGCCTCACACTTGCCAGGCAGGCGTGGTGCCGCTGAGCTACAGCCCCGACCCCACTTTTACATTTTATTAATTGAAATCATTCTGTAAGAATGACCAAAGCAATCTTCTAATAGCCTTTAGTTTTTAGGTCCACAGGATAACTTTAGATTTACAGCAAAATTAAATGGAAGATACAGAATGTTCCATATACTTCCTCATCTGATCTCTCTCATTGTCAATATCCCCCGCTGGTGGAGGGGTTGCTACCATTGATGGACCTTCACAGACATAGCTCGATCACTCAAAGAACACGGTTTGTGTTGTTTAACCTGTTGTGCATTCCACAGGTTTGGGTGAATGTGCAATGATGTGTATCCCCCATTACGGCATCATACTGAATAATGTTTCTGTGTCCCATCTATCCACAACTGTGTTTAAAAAATTCTGCAGAAAAATTGAAAATTGATTTTATTTTTAGTTTCAGTTTTTGTTTTTTTGGAGACAGGGTCTTGCTTTGTAAGGCAGGCTGGCCTCGAACTCACAGCGATCCTCCGGCCTCGGCCTCCCAAGTGCTGGGATTACAGGCAGGCACCACCAGTTAGGCTTGAAAATTAACTTCAAAACCAGTTTGGTAAGTGGATTATTCAAGATGTAATAAAGACTAATGAAAAGAACTCTTGAGATTAGGGAATGAGGAGTTTTAGTTTTCACAGGAGATATTGATGTAACTTGGTTTGATGTACAGGGTGACTTAATCGAAAGGTAAATTAAAATGTTTAAATCTATAGTCATGGCTGGGCATGGTGGCACACTCCTGTAATCCCAGCACTTGGAGGCTGAGGCAGGAGAGCTGCCACAGTTTTGAGACCACCATAGTGAGTTCAAGCCCAGCCTGAACTACAGAGAAAGACCCTATCTTAGCAAAGAAAACCAAACAAAAACTGTAGTCATTTACAAATCATTTAAAAGAGAAATTTCACAAGAATAGACAAGAACATTTTCATGGAGAAGAATCACACTTTGCAAATATCAAAACACACTAGCTGGGCATAGTGGCACATGCCTGTAATCCCAGCACTGGGGAGGCTGAGGCAGGAGGATCACTGTGAGTTCAAGACCAGCCTGGGCTACACAGTGAGTTCCAGGTCAGTCTCAACTACATAGTGAGACCCTGTCTCAACCCCCCCCCAAAAAAAAACAAAAAACGACACACTCTAAATTGCTTAGGCTTTCCCAAGAAGCAGAGCCTCAGGCAAGTGTTTGGATAGTTGTAGTTTATCTGGGAGGGGATTCACAAGCAGAGGAGGGGCAGAGAAAAGAGGGTGGGTAGGGTAGGAAGGAAAGACGCTACTGCAGGGGACATCGCTGAGGGCAGCCGGGGCCAAGTCGCACAGATGACATGGACAGTAGAAGATACCCAGCACCAAGTTAAATACGTAGTGCCAACAGATGAAGGGGAGGAGCTGGCCTAAATGCGGGTGATTCTGTGCACGGGGTGGGCGGGCTGGAGCTGCAGGGGCTGTGAGAGGGGCTTGGCCGTCAGGTGGAACAGGAAGCTGCAGACCGTTCACAGATGAAGAATTTGTGGACATGGCATTTGGAGTCGTTCCATCCATCGCCATAAAACTCTGCACAGTCTTCCTCCCCCGAGCTGTTGGGCTCGCCTGGGTTCCAGTACTTCATGAAGCTGGAAAGTCCATCCACCACGTGAGCCTCTGCCCCAGCCCCTCCTCCCCTGCGAACTGTATTTTAGCTTCGGGAAACCATGGGTTTACATCTACCCTGCGTGCGTGTGGCAGACGTGTCTTGTTCTGGACACCCAGGGACCTGCCCCAAGTCACTTGGCCTTGTTGGGACCCTGACCCTTGTTGTCCACCGTGTTTGGGAAGAGTCCTTCTGCTGAAGGGGTGATTTCCAGGTGCGAAACCACCGAGGAAGACTCAACACTCCCGGCTACTTTCCTTACCAATCGTTTGCGCTCTGGGCCCCTATGCAACTCCCTAGAGCCAAGGACCAGACACTCAGGGACAACAACCTGCATACCAGAACGTGCCGACATTAGAAAGTGGCCCATCCTGAGGCCGCTTATTTCTCTTCATCTAACCCTTCCCAAGGACACGGAAATACGGTTCCTTACTCCAACTCGTCTTCCTTCAACCTCTGAATTGGCCTTGCTCCGTCCCCACGGAATCCACCATAGTGTGATATACAGTCCCTCCCTCCAGCCGGAGTAGAACAAGCTACCCTTTAAAGGAAATTATCTCCTGAGCTTTTGGCCTTGCCACACCTCAGACTTTATGTGAATGACCCGTATTTAAATTGTCCACCCAGTTTGCGAGTTCCGACTGTGAAAGTTCAGGGACCTATGACTGTCTGCATGTGAGTATGAGCGCCGCCTTCCTCAACTCAGTAGATGGCACTGCTACACCGAGGGGCACACGGAGCGTGCGTGCGCGCGTCGGGGAGAACCGCAAGTGTAGCGCCAGCCAGAGACTCAGTGCCCCACTCGCTGTGTAGGATGCCGCCTCCTCCTCGGATGTACCTGAGCGACAGAGGCGAGCCGTCCACCCAGCGCCACTCGGATTCCTTGTTCAGGTCTGAGAGTCCCATCCAGGTGCGGCCTTTACTCTTAGAAGTCTGCTGCAGGAAGCTCTGGAGGGGAGAGCAGGGGTCAGGAGGGAGCTGTGCCCCCGCCCTGCGTTTTCCAGCCGGCACCTCCTCCATCTCTTGGCAGGAAGCTCTGCCCTGCAGCTGGACCCTCAACCTCCCACTGCACCGTGGCTCCCCCGTGAAATCAAGAGATCTGAGCTCTCCTCACATCTGTGTGCCACGGGCAGATGAGTTCTGATTCGTACACAGAGGTGTGTGTCTGGCCTCACCCCACACACGGCTGTCAATACTGCCTGTCTGTGTGTCTGGTGAGTTCTGAGTGGGTCCACACAGATTACTCGCCACTGGGTTTAAAGTGCCGGAGACAGATCACACTAGTTCGCGACTGCTAGTCACGCACATCGCCTATTTTCAATTCTCCACCCAGTGGCATCCTCTTGTAGCCAGAAATCAGCCACAGTAAATAGCCCCTCATCCGGAACACCCCGATCTGACCGCCCACCGCCTCCCTGATGCATCTCCAGCGAAGGAGAGGCCCACGCCCCGCACCTGCTCCTCAGCGCTCTCCACAATAACGAGCTGAGCCCCTGCTTCCTGGCAGGCGGTGACGGACTCATGCCAGTCCCGTTGGGACTTGGAGAAGAAGTAGCACCTTCCTTGGAAGATGGTCCAGTCCCAGGGGCAGGGGCGGCACAGACGGTCTGTTGGGAGAGGGATCGTGCTACACCCATGTTTACATGCTCCTGCTCCTGTGGTTACCCAGCCTTCCGGTCCGGGAGTCAGGACCCTCCCTGGACACCGCACCCTGGGGGGAACACTTCCTTCCCCACTCCCAGAGCCCCTTTCTTGTCCCGGGAGCACCCAGGAGTCCCAGTCCATCTCCTCTAGGTGGAGAGAGCAGGATCTGGAGGTGGAAATAGAGTGCAGGGGACTGGTTTAATGGCTGTCTACTGTGTGCCTGACACTCAGTGCACAGCAGGTGCTACCTTGGATGGCTTCCTGTGTTTCCAATTTACAGAGGAGGCTGAAAGGGGGGGGAGAGGGAGGGCAAGTGCACCACGGAATTATGCAAAGGGATCCCACACTGAGGCCAACTCAGGCTGTTAGAGACCTGCTTTCTAGTCCCTCACCGACTCTAGTCTTCAGCTGGTTAAGTTCCTGGAAGATCTTCTCCTGCTTTGACTGCTCCTGCTCCAGTTCCTGCAAGCTGGGGCCTCTGGAGACTGTGCCACGAAGCACACGCCACTGTTAAGCACTTAGTGTGTGTGGTGGCCCGCAGCAGGACTCCAGACACACTGCACCTGAGAGCTAATGCCTTGTTCGATCCCGTTCAAAAGGGAGGAAACACCACCAGGGGAAGTGGACCCAGGAGCCCAGCCGCTCCTCCTAACTCCTCTGCGCCAGATGTAGGAGGGGTCCTCAGAAGCTCCTGAAGGCCTCTGGAGGACCCATCCCAGCTGCAGCCCAACTGCCGTCCCCACCCTCAGTCCTGCTCTGACCTTGGGCAAGGATGGCCAACAGGAGTCCAGCAAATAACGTGAGGGCGAGTATCTGTAGGAGCAGGGAGATGGAGTAATTTCCCAGACACCCTGCAGGAGAAGAGCAGGGGTTCCAGCATGCCTGTGTCTCTTCCTCAGCCTGGCCAGCAGACTCTTTCTTTCCAGGGCACAAGATTCCATTTCCCACCTTGCACCTCTCCAGGACCCAGGAGACCAGAATCCCAACACATTTCTTCTCAGGACCCAAGCGTCTGGGAGGAAACATCCACCCCTCCTCAGTCCCCACCCCTGTCCTACCTCCATAGCAGTTGAATGTAGAAGTTGGTTGGCATCCAAAGCTTTTTGTGAAACATTTGGGGCCGCTGGTTATCAGTTCCTCTTCATCTGAAGGAACAGAAAATCAGGGCCTGGTCTGGGCAGGCTGAGACCTGAGATCCTCCCCTCCAGACCTCCTCCCTGAGTTCCTCTCAGAATCCCAGCCCAGACTCACCCAGGGGGCCCAGCTGCTGCTGTGCCCTGTTGTTACTCATGTTCACCGCTGTCCCTCAGTGCTCAGGACAGGTGGAGACCACAGCTTTTATGTCCACCCCCTGAGCCTCACTCCCTGGATCTACTTTCACATAGGAAGAGAAACAGGGAACTGGGCGTTGAACCCGGAAGAGGTGAGAGGGAGGGAGTCGTGAGCCTTGGAGGCAGTGGTCGGTTGGTCCCACGAATTTCAGGGAGGGGTTGGTGGTGGTCTGGGCTTCCTAGCGGAAAGAACTGGTTTGCTCGGATGTGACCAAGCTGTGGGATGCCTTTAATGATGAGATTTTTTTGTTTTTTTTTTTTTGGTACTGGGGATGGAACTTGAGTCCTTGTGCTTGCAAGGCAGGTGATGGCACCACTGGGCTAAATCCCCGGCTGGATGCCTTTAAGGAAAGCAATAAATTGTAAGAGAAAGCTATTTTTCAATTCCTTCTCCACTTGTGGCAAGGGAGGGCAGACAAATGTTCCCAGTCTTCCTGGAAACATCCCCTCCGGCTTCAGGGTTTTCTGCCCTGGTTTGTTCATGTCCTTATTTCCAGGGCTTCTGTGGACTGATGGGAGTAAGGCTGAATCATCGTCCTTGATATTTATGTAATGCCCAGTGTAGTTCGGCATTTTGACTCCTTTCTGTTTGCATTCATTTCGTCTTCCCAGCCTGTGATCAGTGATCTGACTTCTATTTTACAGTCCAGTGAAATTCAAAGCACAGGGAAGTCAGGTAAACAAGTGGTCCACGGTCAATGGTAGAGCTAGAAATTGATCTTAGTCTGTCTGAAGACAGACTGTGAATTGAGGAGAGTCACATGGGCTCAAGGAGGAAACAAAAGAATTCACTGCAATGACTCACAACTGCCAAAACTAAAAAAAAAAAAAAAAAAAAAAAAAAAAAAAAAAGAAAAAAAAAAAAAAAAAAAAAAAAAAAATCCAAGTGGCCACCAATACATGCATGGGAAAAAGTGGTGTCCCTACAACCACAAAAAAGCAAACTGTCAAGGCCTGCAATGAAATGAGTGACTCAATCTGGAAGAGTGGAGGTATTCAGACATATAAAATGATGCTGTAAGATTTGGTTCAGAGGTCTTCAAATAACTTCTCAGTGATGAGTGTGATTGTAAGGTACACCCAAATGTACCGATCAACTCAATTAAAAAAATTAACTCCACCCCCACGAGAAGGCTTAGTCAGGGAATGGTCACGTGAACCGAACAGATACTTTTCAAAAGAGGAAGTACAAAATGGCCAATAAATACATGAAAGAAATGTTCATCGTATTTAGCCATGCGTGAAATGCAGATCAAAACACATCTGAGGTCCGTCCGTCGTCCTCCAGTAAGAAGGGGCTGCCATCAAGAACACCGAAAACAAGTGCTGGTGAGGATGTGGGGAAAGAGGAAACCTTCTACACTGTTGGTGAGGGTGTAAACTGATAGAACCTCAGTGGAAATCAGTATGGAGACTGCAGGAAACTAAAAAAGGAAACTCCACCTGACCCGGCCACATCTACGCGGGGAAACTTAAAATGTAAATAAATAGAAGAGTGAAATAAAGGAGAGAGGGTAGGAAACAAAAAGGCAGCGTTGTTTTGAGATGGGGAAGGGGCAAAGAGAGGAAGGAGGAGGAAAAAAGCTAGGGAGGGGATAAAGGAATTGAAAATAACCAAGATATGCTACATACACGGACCACTTCCCCAAAACAAATGTAACTGTGATGTGTTGCAAACATGCACTAATACAATAAAATTAAATTAAAAAAGCAAAGAGGTGTTACATCAAAACCACAAGAGGTCATTGTTTTTGTTTTTTTAATTTTGTAAGATGTGTCCCAATTTCATTTAAGGATGCCAAATTACATATTTCAAATTTCTAAAATGGACTAGAACCATCTTGGAATGAAGACACGGCATAAATGAACACTAACAACCCTTGAGATTCAAGATTTACAAAGAAAGCAAAATTCCTCTGCAAATCGCATCCCCCTTATGTAACAAGATGAGCTCTTATCTACCACTTCACTTTGGCGATAGCTACGTTCTAAAGGAATGGGGAAAAGTGATGCTGTTACTTCTTTAAGTTGATTAAAAATGGGATTCTGTCTTTAGATTAAAAATTTAAAGATCAGAAAAGTTATGTTTGGATGAAATATGGTTACAAAAAATCGACACAGAATGTCTCCTCAAAATTTTGAAAATAAAAAGGAAAAAAACTACTATGATTGGTTAAGGATTTCTAGGAATGAGTGAAACAGTCTCAAGAAGAGGTATGGAGGGCTGGGGTCTAAGGTCAGTAGTTCCGCTGCCTGCCTCACAAGTTGAAGGTCCCAAGTTTGACCTCCAGTACCAATAAAAGAAAAAAAAAAGAGAGAGAAAAAGAAAACTATCAGCCAAGTGTGGTGGCACACACCTGTCACCCCAGCACTCGGGAGGCTGAGGCAGGAGGATCGCTGGGAGTTCGAGACCAGCCTGGGCTACATAGTGAGTTCCAGGTCAGTCTCAACTACATAGTGAGACCCTGTCTCAACCCTCCAAAAGAAAACAAACAAAAAAACTATCATTTGTAAAAATATATCAACTCAATGTAATCAGAGGTCATTTTTTTTTTTTT